CCACAAAATGCTCAATTGCTCCTTCTTCACCTTCTTTCTTGAAGGCCCATGGTTCTCTGAGTGGTAGACAAGCAGGGGCTTGATCTTAAGGTCCCCACTGGAATTGGCGCAGAACAGAATTGTGAGATGGTCCTTTATTGACTTGTGGCCAGGCAATGAGGTCTCCTCCTCCGTGACAAAAGTACGCTTTGGTATCCTCTTCCAGAAGAGCCCAGTCTTGTCGCAGTTGAAGACCTGCTGAGGAAGGTAGCCCTCTGAAGCCATGACCTCCAGGAACTCAGTAGCAAATTCCTCAGCTGCAGCAGCAAACATCGGAAATCGTGGACTCTCCATGCCTGACCACGCTGTGGATGCCAGATCTGGTCTTGAACCTTTCGGACCACCCCCTGCTCACCTTGAAGCCTTCTGCATTGGCTGACGTTCCTGGCTATTGGTCGAGGAGGTCAGCATGCAAGGCTTTGGCTTTTTAGCAGATGATCACCTTGGTCACTGTGTCTCCTGTACGCTGCTCCTCTTCAATCCAGAGCAGGAGCAACTTTTCAACCTCATCCAGAACAGGTGGCCGTTGCTTGGAGACCCTGGAGACTCCCTTGGCTGCATCTCTCCCAGTTATCTTCTCTTTCATCTTTAGGACGGTAGCGATTGTGGGTGCACTCCTTCCATACTATTTGGTGAGGTCAGTCAATCACATTTCCTCCTTCATGCTTCCTGATGATTTCTTTCTAGACCTTGAGCAGAATCCTCTCTTCTTCCTCTTCCCAGCTTCCACTGCTTTCTTGGGTGCCATGACACCACAGGCACTAAGTGAGCAGAAAATAAAAAAAAATGCTTTCCACCCCCACCCAGTCAGTGTTTCAGTCCAAGAGCCCCAAGTCTATCCACACAAGATAATGGAAACCCCAAAAATCTGTCCACATGAGCAGGCATGGAAACCACCCCACAATGCAAAACACACAGTAACAGGCGTGTACAGCACATGAGCTGACATGGAAACCCCCCCACAATGCAAAACACACAGTAACAGGCATGTACAGCACATGAGCTGGCATGGAAACCACCCCACAATGCAAAACACACAGTAACAGGCGTGTACAGCACATGAGCTGACATGGAAACCACCCCACAATGTAAAACACACACAGTAACAGGCGTGTACAGCACATGAGCTGACATGGAAACCACCCCACAATGTAAAACACACACAGTAACAGGCGTGTACAGCACATGAGCTGACATGGAAACCACCCCACAATGTAAAACACACACAGTAACAGGCGTGTACAGCACATGAGCTGACATGGAAACCACCCCACAATGTAAAACACACACAGTAACAGGCGTGTACAGCACATGAGCTGACATGGAAACCACCCCACAATGCAAAACACACAGTAACAGGCATGTACAGCACATGAGCTGGCATGGAAACCATCCCACAATGCAAAACACACAGTAACAGGCGTGTACAGCACATGAGCTGACATGGAAACCACCCCCCACAATGCAAAACACACAGTAATAGGCGTGTACAGCACATGAGCTGACATGGAAACCCCCCCCACAATGTAAAACACACAGTAACAGGCGTGTACAGCACATGAGCTAGCATGGAAACCACCCCACAATGCAGAACACACAGTAACAGGCGTGTGCAGCACATGAGCTGACATGGAAACCGCCCCACAATGCAAAACACACAGTAACAGGCATGTACAGCACATGAGCTGGCATGGAAACCACCCCACAATGCAAAACACACACAGTAACAGGCGTGTACAGCACATGAGCTGACATGGAAACCACCCCACAATGTAAAACACACACAGTAACAGGCGTGTACAGCACATGAGCTGACATGGAAACCACCCCACAATGCAAAACACACAGTAACAGGCATGTACAGCACATGAGCAGCAGACATGGAAACCACCCCACAATGCAAAACACAAAGTAACAGGCGTGTACAGCACATGAGCTGGCATGGAAACCCCCCACAATGCAAAACACAAAGTAACAGGCGTGTACAGCACATGAGCTGGCATGGAAACCCCCCACAATGCAAAGCACACAGTAACAGGCATGTGCAGCACACGAGCTGACATGGAAACCACCCCACAATGCAAAACACACAGTAACAGGCGTGTGCAGCACATGAGCTGGCATTGAAACCGCCCCACAATGTAAAACACACAGTAACAGGCGTGTGCAGCACATGAGCTGACATGGAAAACCGCCCCACAATGCAAAACACAAAGTAAAAGGCGTGTACAGCACATGAGCTGACATGGAAACCGCCCCACAATGCAGAACACACAGTAAACAGGCGTGTGCAGCACATGAGCTGGCATTGAAACCGCCCCACAAATGTAAACACACAGTAACAGGCGTGTGCAGTACATGAGCTGACATGGAAACCGCCCCACAATGCAAAACACAAAGTAAAAGGCGTGTACAGCACATGAGCTGACATGGAAACCGCCCCACAATGCAGAACACACAGTAACAGGCGTGTGCAGCACATGAGCTGACATGGAAACCGCCCCACAATGCAAAACACACAGTAACAGGCGTGTACAGCACATGAGCTGACATGGAAACCGCCCCACAATGAAAAACACACAGTAACAGGCGTGTACAGCACATGAGCTGACATGGAAACCGCCCCACAATGCAAAACACACAGTAACAGGCGTGTACAGCACATGAGCTGGCATGGAAACCCCCCACAATGCAAAGCACACAGTAACAGGCATGTGCAGCACACGAGCTGACATGGAAACCACCCCACAATGCAAAACACACAGTAACAGGCGTGTACAGCACATGAGCTGACATGGAAACCGCCCCACAATGAAAAACACACAGTAACAGGCGTGTACAGCACACATGAGCTGACATGGAAACCGCCCCACAATGCAAAACACACAGTAACAGGCGTGTACAGCACATGAGCAGCAGACATGGAACCCGCCCCACAATGCAAAACACACAGTAACAGGCGTGTACAGCACATGAGCTGACATGGAAACCACCCCACAATGCAAAACACACAGTAACAGGCGTGTACAGCACATGAACTGACATAGAAACCGCCCCACAATGTAAAACACACAGTAACAGGCATGTACAGCACATGAGCAGCAGACATGGAAACCACCCCACAATGCAAAACACAAAGCAACAGGCGTGTACAGCACATGAGCTGGCATGGAAACCCCCCACAATGCAAAGCACACAGTAACAGGCATGTGCAGCACACGGGCTGACATGGAAACCACCCCACAATGCAAAACACACAGTAACAGGCGTGTGCAGCACATGAGCTGGCATTGAAACCACCCCACAATGTAAAACACACAGTAACAGGCGTGTGCAGCACATGAGCTGACATGGAAACCGCCCCACAATGCAAAACACAAAGTAAAAGGCGTGTACAGCACATGAGCTGACATGGAAACCACCCCACAATGCAGAACACACAGTAACAGGCGTGTGCAGCACATGAGCTGACATGGAAACCCGCCCCACAATGCAAAACACACAGTAACAGGCATGTGCAGCACATGAGCTGGCATGGAAACCCCCCACAATGCAAAGCACACAGTAACAGGCATGTGCAGCACACGGGCTGACATGGAAACCACCCCACAATGCAAAACACACAGTAACAGGCGTGTGCAGCACATGAGCTGGCATTGAAACCGCCCCACAATGCAAAACACACAGTAACAGGCGTGTACAGCACATGAGCTGACATGGAAACCGCCCCACAATGAAAAACACACAGTAACAGGCGTGTACACAGCACATGAGCAGCAGACATGGAACCCGCCCCACAATGCAAAACACACAGTAACAGGCGTTCTGTGTACAGCACATGAGCTGACATGGAAACCACCCCACAATGTAAAACACACAGTAACAGGCGTGTACAGCACATGAGCTGGCATGGAAACCCCCTACAATGCAAAGCACACAGTAACAGGCATGTGCAGCACACGAGCTGACATGGAAACCACCCCTCAATGCAAAGCACACAGTAACAGGCATGTGCAGCACACGAGCTGACATGGAAACCGCCCCACAATGAAAAACACACAGTAACAGGCGTGTACAGCACATGAGCTGACATGGAAACCGCCCCACAATGCAAAACACACAGTAACAGGCGTGTACAGCACATGAGCAGCAGACATGGAACCCCCCCCACAATGCAAAACACACAGTAACAGGCGTGTACAGCACATGAGCTGACATGGAAACCACCCCACAATGCAAAACACACAGTAACAGGCGTGTACAGCACATGAGCTGGCATGGAAACCCCCCACAATGCAAAACACACAGTAACAGGCGTGTACAGCACATGAGCTGGCATGGAAACCCCCCACAATGCAAAGCACACAGTAACAGGAATGTGCAGCACACGAGCTGACATGGAAACCACCCCACAATGCAAAGCACACAGTAACAGGTGTGTACAGCACATGAACTGACATAGAAACCGCCCCACAATGTAAAACACACAGTAACAGGCGTGTACGGCACATGAGCTGACATGGAAACCCCCCCACAATGCATGCAAATGATGAAGCTCAGCTCCCCACCTTTCCACCACTTGAGAAATGCACCAAAAAAGTTCCAAAAAGTCCAAAAACCTCTGCAAACAAATTTCAGAATGGCTACAAAACTCGATGCAAAAACCGCTCCAACTCCTCCACATTCAACGCCTCGTGCTACCCAGACTCCAGCATGCACGAGGGCGGCACTATAAACCTCCCAGGTGCAATGCATCCTGGGGAAACTTGCTTTGTAGTGCACAAAAAAATCATAACCCGAGGCATTATTTTCAATGGATTTTTATTTGTAACATGAAAATTAGGTTAACCGAGGCGTTCATAAACCGAGGTACACCTGTATGTATAATTTATCACTGCTGCAATAAAGTCCCATTGGGGGGTCTTCTGACACATGTATTCAGTGAGGAACATTTCCCTCACTCAAGACAGGAAAGTGGCTTCTCCCCCGTGTGAGATCTCTGATGTGTGTAAAGATCAGACTTCACTGAAAAACATTTCCCGCACTCAGAACAAGAAAACAGCTTCTCCCCCGTGTGAGATCTCTGATGTCTGTAAAGAATTGACTTCCTTGAAAAACATTTCCCGCACTCAGGACAGGAAAATGGTTTCTCCCCCGGTGTGAGATCTCTGATGTGTGTAAAGATTGGATGTCTTTGAAAAACATTTCCCACACTCAGGACAGGAATACTTTTTCTCCCCCATGTGAGACTTCTGATGTTTGTGTAAGATTGAACCTCTCTGAAAAACATTCTCCGCACTCAGGACAGGAATACTGCTTCTCCCCCGTGTGCAATCTGTGATGTGTGTAAAGATTGGATTTTGCTGAAAAACATTTCCCACACTCAGGACAGGAATACGGCTTCTCCCCTGTGTGAGATCTCTGATGTGCGTAAAGATTGGATTTCACTGAGAAAAACATTTCCCGCACTCAGGACAGGAATATGGCTTTTCCCCCCTGTGTGCAATCTCTGATGTGTGCGTAAAGACTGGTCTTGTCTGAAAAACATTTCCCGCACTCAGGACAGGAATAAGGCTTCTCCCCTGTGTGAGATCTCTGATGTTTGTAAAGATTGGACTTCTGCGAAAAACATTTCCCGCACTCAGGACATGAATATGGCTTCTCTCCCCCGTGTGAGATCTCTGATGTGTGTATGTTTTAAGATTTGACTTACTGAAAAACATTTCCCACACTCAGAACAGGAATACGACTTCTCTCCCCGTGTGAGATCTTTTATGCACATTAAGTTTGATTTATAACGGAAACCCTTTCCCGCACTCAGTACAGGAGAAGCTCTTCCCTGTTGGAAGGCCGGCCCGGTCCCGCACAGTCTGAGGTTCCTCAGGATACGAGGAATCCGATGGTCCATCTACACTGGGTGGTGCCGGATGGACATTGGAGGGAGCCGGGTTTTCTCCTGGACTATACTGTGTGATGTCCTCATCTTCTACTTTCCAGTCTGGAGACAAAGTGAGACAATCCTCGGAGGTTTTCCTCATCTCCCGGCCATGGACTAAAATACAAAGACAAAGAGGATTACTAGACAGGAGCTGATTGGTTCCCCCAAACCAGGACTCCGCCCACATCAGGCAGCTTGGTCTCTGAGGAGCTTACAATTCCACCCTCAAGGGAACTAGGAAATGGCTCTCCTCTGATCTCCTACCAGGTCATTTCTTTATTCATGGACCTTAGTCAGAGAGTGAGGAAACAACCAGAACTGTCTTTTATAGGAGGGACAGTGATGAGGGGATTATAGGACGAGGGTCCCCACCCCCTCTATCACTCATCGCCATCTTCCCAACACAAGAAGTACTGCACTTCCTTATTTAGTCCATGATTTAGTCATGAAGAACAGCGGGGCTGAGCCCCACCAGAGGTCAGAGAGTGAGGATGGGGGGGAGAACAACCAAGATGAAGACTGGACTGATCCTGAAGACCACCATCATTGGGGTATTGACTCCTCCCTCATTATCACTTTCTGTTTAAGGGTCCAAAGTTGGAGGATGTTATCACATTATTATCACCATGTAAAAGTCTGTGCTCCAATCACATCATCCGATATAAAATGTCCAGCTGGGAGGAAATGGGGTAAACAAAAGAGAATCCATATTATGTGTATATATAGCAGTGGGGGGAGGGGGGAGAGCAGACATAGTCAGGAGTATGTAATGTACAACATAGAGTATATATAGTGCAGGGGTCAGGAGTATGTAATGTACAACATAGAGTATATAGTGCAGGGGTCAGGAGTATGTAATGTACAACATAGTATATAGTGCAGGGGTCAGGAGTATGTAATGTACAACATAGAGTATATAGTGCAGGGGTCAGGAGTATGTAATGTACAACATAGAGTATATAGTGCAGGGGGTCAGGAGTATGTAATGTACAACACAGAGTATATAGTGCAGGGGTCAGGAGTATGTAATGTACAACATAGAGTATATAGTGCAGGGGTCAGGAGTATGTAATGTACAAGGAGACCCCAGTAATTATAATAGTGCAGGGGTCAGGAGTGTGTAATGTACAACATAGGTGTAAGGGTCAGGACCTCATAATATTGGTATTCAGTAATCAGTGGAACATTAAATGTTTACTGTAGACAAGTTGCAGAGATCCCACACCGCTGCCTCCCATCTCCTGAGACTGCACTCAGTGACTTGGGTCTGAGACACTACAGACATATCCCTCCACCCGGCACAGCCAGCAGAACACAGAGCAAGGAACCCTGGGAGAAATGTTCTGTCAGAGATCTTACTAGATCTGGAGATAGGAAGAAGACCCAAAGACACACCCCAGGTGCCTAGGTCTAGTAACACTTATGGTGAAAAAACATTTTGCTGCCAGCTGAACCCCAGAACCTCCATAAATCCAGTCTAGATACATAAATTGTGTCTGCAGCACAGAGAAGGAAGATTATCCGAGAGAAATCCAGGAATACAGGACGGGGAACACAGCTCAGGAAAGTGACCAGGGGATTACAGGCTGATATCACCCAGTCCCCGCCCTACTCTGGACCAATCAGTGAGCAGTATGGGTGGAGGAATGGATTTAGTGTTCATGACCCACCTGTGCTGATCTCTGTAGGAGTGTCCTCCTCTATAAATGTCCCCGTTATTCCATCCTCCTCCATAGACTGCTGATCATCCCTCACATACGCCTCTTCTTCTTCTGCTTTCACCTCAAATTCTATATCGATTGGATCTCCACTCTAAATCAGGAAATAGAGAAAAATCATCTGTAAAATGTAAGGTCACATAAAAAAAAAAAAAAAACACATCATCTCCACAAGTCCATGTTCTAGATGCTCCCATCCCACCAACCTTGTAATAGTGAGGGATGGTGTGACCTTCCTGTGTGGAATCCCGGGAATACAGAGGACGGGGACATCTCTCTGGTGGGTTCCTGTAGCTGGATGACTCCACCATGGTGTCCTGGTACAGATCTTTGTGTCCTTTTAGAAAACTCTGACTCCTCCATCCCCCCATCCTCATCCTCCTCCTCTTTTATACTCTTCTTTAACCTCAACTTTAGGATCTCTCAGGTTTCCACTCTGAATATATAATAAAAATGACATCAATGGTAACAATGCAGATAATGTACAGATCCTAATGATACTATCAGTGATTGTTCCTCATCTACCTGATGATGGTGAGGGATGGTGTGACCTTCCTGTGTGGAATCCCGGGAATACAGAGGACGGGGACAGTCTCTCTCTGGTGGGTTCCCATGACTGGATCCATCTGTAGGAAACACACACACTGACTGAATCCATTGTTTCTATGTGTTTATCAGAGATGATGGGGGATCTAGGTGGATCCTCCGTACTGCTCTCTCCTTTACAATAAAGTCTCCTCTTACCCGGTGATGTGAGGGGCGGGCTGATTGTCCATCATGACGTCCTTGTAGAGATCCTTGTGTCCTTCTAAATACTCCCACTCCTCCATGGAGAAATAGACAGTGACACCCTGACACCTTATAGGAACCTGACACACACAATGATACAGTCACCATCCAGACACATCCCTTGTCTGTTACTGGAGAATGTCCCAGAATTCCCGGCACCGCTCACCTCTCCTGTCAGCAGCTCAGTGATCTCTCTGGTGACTTCTAGAATCTTCTTCTTCTTTCTCTCTTCTATCAGGGAGGGAGGTGGAGGCAATGTGATGTCATATGATCTCCAGACTTCACAGGAGGAAAACTCTACATCTGAACACAAATAGTCACATCAAATGATATTCCCAGAATCCTCCTCACCTCTCTCCATTCAGGTCTCCATTTTATTAAAGCCCCACTTCAGGCTGAGGTATAATTCCCCCCCCCACAGGACCCCCACACTACGCAGGGTATAGGCTTGTTGCAGCATTCTGTCATTACATACAACGCAGGACCAACAGTCCCACTTTACATGTGAGGATACCAAGGGACCCCACATCCTAAGAGCATCAGAAAAAAAAAGCCAGATGGAGGGACATTTTGGGAGAGGAGCTGTGAGGTCAGTGTGATGTCATAGGATTCTCTGACTCTGGATGGAAGGACATTGGGAGGAGGGGCTGTGAGGTCAGTGTGATGTCATAGGATTCTCTGACTCTGGATGGAGGGACATTGGGAGGAGGAGCTGTGAGGTCAGTGTGATGTCATGGATTCTCTGATCTGACCCAAACTCAATGCCTATGGGAGGAGGACAATGGGAGGTCATGGGAGTGTGATGACCATAGGATTCTCTGACTCTGGAGGAGACATTGGGAGGATTGGAGGTCAGTGAGGTCACCCCTGTGATGTCATAGGATTCTCTGACTCTGGATGGAGGGACATTGGGAGGAGGAGCTGTGAGGTCAGTGTGATGTCATAGGATTCTCTGACTCTGGATGGAGGGACATTGGGAGGAGGAGCTGTGAGGTCAGTGTGATGTCATAGGACATATAGACTCTGGATGGAGGGACATTTGGATGGGGAGATTTGAGGGGTCCTCTATATGAGGCTCCCATGCAAACCAAATCCTTGTTCCTGGGTGCGTCCTACCTCTCCTAAACTGAAGAGTGACCTTTGACCTTTACCATCCAGAAATCTGTCCGGAATCTGTGGAAGTAAGCTGTCATGTGATCAGGTGACGTGCGGAGGAACGGAGTGTAAATAGCAGACAATTGTCTCCAGAGCCCCTAATGGTGGGGATGGATTTGGCGGCGTGCTGGTGCCAAGTTTCCTCCCCCCAGGGTCACTGCAGGTGTGGAGAAAAGCTGTGTAAGAGGATATGGAGGAGAGATGAGGAGGAGATCCAGGAATCAGGAGAAAGGTCAGGGCAAGCAACAGACGAGCGCATCCAAGAGACCAAGCCGGGGTCACTACACAGAAAATCAATCCAAGGAAACAACAGGCAGGACGAGGAATAGCAAGAAGGAGCTGAGAGACAAATGAGAATATTGCTCAGCCAATGGGAGATGATCTCAGCATGACTTCCATCATGAAGGAGATGAGGGGGAGGGGAGGAAGTCACTGAAGGTGACCATAGATCCATGGAAATTCAGCTGGTTCAGCAGGGATCGCTCACATTTCCATCCATGTGTGGCCACTGCCGGATAAAAGCCACTCCCCCAGCGGCTGCAGCCAATAGCTTCAGTGCTGATCTGTGTATTCTGAGAGCGGAGGAGTCCCCCCATTGTCAGAATACAAGAGTGCAGCGGGGAGGATTCCCCCATCCACCTCCAATGTGTGGATGGGGGAATCACTTCAGTTTTTTATGGTCATCCCGCTGGCTGAACGATAAAACTGAACCATGTAGGCCAGCTTTGGGAGCAAATATATTTATCATCAACTCCTCCCCCTGAAGGGGTTCATCTACGTATTACCTCCTCTGCTGCCAGATCCAGGAATGTCTCCTCTTTGCTTCCTCTTCCTGATTTACCTCTCCCCTATGGAACTTCCTGTCTGTACCTGACATCACTTCCTGTCTGTACCTGACATCACTTCCTGTCTGTCTTCCATAGAGACTTCCTGTCTGGGTAGAAGTGAGATCCCCACCTTGTGGAGCTCAGAGGAACTGCAGCCCCGAGAAGCGTCTGGTAGTGTGACCCCGGCCTTGTGCTGGGTGTGTATGGACTGTAGATCCTTATAGA